ATGCAAATATATCGCGGAAAATCCGCCGGCGCGTATTAAAGCCAAGGATTCGGCGTGGATCAGCAAAAACGGCCGATTACCTATCCGTTCCTCCGTGGGGGGAGGGGGGTGGGGAGGGAACAGTTTTCGCGTAACCGCTATAACCGCTCGCGGTCACCTTGTATACACGTTACCGTATCGCATCCGCGTACGCGCACGTCACGCGATAACCAATAGGGGCCCCGTTACGGAACTCCTTCTCCCTCCCCTCCCTCCCCACAGATAAACGACCACCGGCAAAGGTCAACGACGTCGTCGCCGTCGTCGGCTCGGTACGTGGACATTCCATCGTGACCGCCGCGGACGCACTTGTGATCTTTTTCTTTTAGACTTCGTATTACTGTTTTTTTATTTATTATTATTATTTTTACATATATATTTTTTTTTTCTGTCAACGGCGACAACTACCGCGCACAATTATTATCATCTATAGAATTTGTTTATACCGTCCGCGATACCCATTCAACGTCCGGTAATAAAACGCACTCCGGAGTCGACAATCACTCGCGGTAATATTGCGCCGCGTATCATAAAAACGTCGCGTCGTTGTTCATACGGCTCGCGGGACTTAAAGTGAGGGACGTAAACGGCGTAAACAGTGGCGTCGCGCTGTTGTATCGGTTCACAATACCGCAGGCACACGTCCAATGAGGGGTTTTCACTTGTTTTCGGTTCTTCGAGGACTTTCGACGATGCGCTCGAAACCGTTTCAGCGTTTTCGACAAAATTACAATGTCGCAACGTCAGCCCCCCCCCTCCCCGTCGGTGTAGCGGATAATTACAAACGAAAATGACGGTTGTAATATAGGCACGTACCAATCAAACGCAGAACGTATAGCCGCTCGTTCGGTTCCAGCGGCGCGTTGTGCAGGATTTAGGACGGATACACATCGCGGATTCGGGAATCGCGTCGTGCCGTAGAGGGTAAAAGGTACATTTTTAAATTAAATATTCTCGCGAGCAAATTGAAATCATTCGTTCTGCTCTGAAATTTCCGTTTGGATAGAACAACTAGGCGCATTAGTGGCATTCGGGCACCTACCGACCCAACCTCATTCTTCACAATACGTGTGGTTCTGATAGGTTTCGTAATAGGATATTCATCAGTTTAATCCCTCCCTTAAGTACACCAATGTTCGACTCATTCAGTCGCCCGTCACTTTATCTCAAGAACGGCCGGGTCTAGAAAATGGAAAATTTACACAGAGGTTGTTTTTTTTTTTTTATATACATAAAGCAGACGCAATAAGGAGAGATGTATTGTTGAAAATTCGATCGATAATATAATAATAACATAAAAACGATTACAACTGCGTGTTATATTCACGGCCATTCAATTGGTCACGGGAAAAATCGCGCAGGAACAGCCATAGCTTAAAACAATGAATACAATCATCATATTACCGCGATCAAGAACATCATCATCGCAGTGTTGGTCCTGATAATAAATCTGTTGATATTTTGTACTTATACAGACCAACATAATGACGGACTGTCAGTAATATAATAGCAACGGATCGATAAATAAAAATACCACGAAAACGGTTTACTGCAGAGGTTACAGGTTACCTACCGGCTGTTACCGTTCATCGTTCGCACTGATCTTCGGACTCGACCGAGCTATGCTGACGCGGAAGTGAGTACTAAAAACAAAAATAAAAACGGACCTCAGATATTACCTTTCGTTTAGAGTTTTAGACGCCAAAACACAGGGTATTCGGTAATAATGTCAAAATCGAAAACGTCCGTGTACCGAAACACGGCCAAAGACAAAAATGGCCAACGGAAAGGAATGGCCAGGGAAAAATATAGCTATTAGGAAGTACGGTCGTACATAAAAACGGCCGGATGAAAAAAATTTAATTAAAATTTTTTTTTTTTTTTTTTTTTCCCCCATCGCTGTGTCGTCCCTCGAGGTTTTTGTATTTGACCGTATATTTTCGACTAGGCGTATTTTCCTCTGGCCGTTTTTACATCGAAATTTCGGATTTAACCAATTCATTGTTACTTGGACTTAGAGCGCAGACAGACGGAAATTCGGACCGACGGAGCAGAAAACTGTAAATGCAATACAGTCCTGTCCGACTGAACTATAATCAGCTAGTTTTTGGCGGTAAAAGTACGAATCTACGAACATTTTTCGGGATCAACGCCGTAAATACGATTTATTTTCGTTGTATTACTGGTAGGCGCGCGGAAAAAAAAATCGAATATCACGTTTTGTCTCAGGGGTCGTACGAGAGACGACTTAAAGACGACGATGAGTCGTTACGATGAATATAAAAATATGAACATTTTTGAAATACAATTTTCAGCAGTTATTTAATGAGAAAAAAAAAACTGCGAATCTATATAGACACGTATTTTTCGGCGTTCGCGCATTATACATGAAAAAAAAAAATACAAACAATATATTAAAGCGATGTAATCAAAACGGTAAAAAGAGAAATAAAAACCTATAATATTGTTTATTTTTATTCTTTATACGCTGAAAATGAAAATTCAAATGTAATGTTCGTGTTGCTCTCACTATAGGTACTCATCACACGCCGGTATAATATAATATTATACTCTCTAAAAATTAATCACAATAACAGTTGTTGGAGTTTAATCTATTTCTCTCCACCACCCCCCCCCCCCCCCGCGTAGCCCATTTTAATAAGTATAGCCAACGGTTATTGATATTTTAAAAAGGAAACCTTTCACAATGACTCGAACATTTTTCTCGTCTCGTCGGACCTTCTCTTTGCAGGCGTCCGTGTCTACACCATAGTAGCAGTACGACGTATATCGTTTTGTGTTTACCGTGTTATTTTTTTTTTGTTTTTTTTTTCCTCCGCACATCACTAATAAAACATCGCCGGATAAAGTGTACGTAACCGCGTACGGGTACGGGTATATATAGGTATACCTACCTATATATGTATATTATAATTTATAATCATTTGGAATTCGATAATATGCACAGTGTCGAGGCGCGAATTAGTTTGATTTATCTATAAAAAAAAAAAAAAAAACATACACAGACAGAGATAATAAATATCTGTATTTGAAACAAGTTTAACAAGGTTAGATAACAATCTCAAATCTCAAATACAATAATAAGCAAGTGGAGTATTTATAAATAAGTATACGAATAAAAAAATCGAGTCTTTTGTTTTTTTTATTTAATTGTCTATTGTTGACGTATGATGTAACGTTAATAGCAGGGGATTGTAAATAAAATCGTAAAAGTCCAGCGTAATGAAGTCATTTTTTTTTTATATCGGTTTAAAATTCAAATTTCCTCAGAATCGTGTTTCGTCGACAACGATTTATCGTTGCGTACAAAATATGAATATTAAATAATATCATGTATCCTATATATTTTTATCTACCCACCGAAAACTGAAATTTGAAAATCGAGAGTAGCTAGTCGTTTCATCCCCGAAAATTAGGGTAAGAAAAAATAACGAAAATCTTAAATTGTAGAAAAGCTTCTTTCTCTAATATTGTTTAAAACGAATTTCGAAAAATGTCAACACTTTCCGAGACAACAATGCGTGTCTTACGATAGATTGATCACCCCGTATAAAGGGCGTATACGTATCGAGAAAGTGCTGTTTGGGGCGTTCGACTTTCAACTCCCTGCCCAACTGATTTCACGCTCAAATCGCGCGTTTTCACTGGAAATACTAATTAAAATGTGTAGTAAAACTCTGGTAATTATTTAAAAATTTTTAGATCAACTAAGAAAAAACCAATAAAATATCTTAACACGGCGGCAAGTCGGCTGGGAGGGGGGGAAATTCGATTCTGATGTCAGGACTTTGCCGGTGGCGGTTTCCCCTCCCCTCCCCGTCTTTTAACGCCAGCGTGTACGCAGCGTGAATTTTCACTGCGCACAAAATATAAATTAAAAACACGAAAGAACGAATGCTGCCTCTGAGGCGGCATTGTGAATCATCTATCAGACGCTAAAATATGTGATTTTTTATTTTTTTTTCCTCGCGCAGGTGAATATTTCACGAGACGGTTATTATAATCTGAAAATATTACATACGCATGCATTGTACGTTATTAAATGATAAAAACCAGACGCGGAATACGAGATTCCGTTTTCGCACGTTCTCGCCAACGTATACAATGTACTCGTATTATGTTGCAGTAGAAAAATATCATTATAATATGAACGCTACCGGGAAAAAAAAAAAAAAAAATCATACAAATCGGTTCCCGGCAATAATAATTACACGAAACCGTTCGAATTTTTTTCCCATACACGCAAAAACACGTCCGAACAATTACGTTTAATTACGTTTTGAAAAATGTAGACGAATTCTGATTCGTATAGTCTATACTTGACAGACTTGTCGTTCTAAAACTTGGGATTCGCCTCAATCGATCAGTATATTATGATTCGATAAGAATAAATTACGATAGTTTATATCCAACCATTACACAACCATGTTTGTAATCGATTTAAACGTATTTAATAGTTCCGTGCATGGTTTTTACCTAGCGCAAACGATAATGCAATTCTGTGACGACGGGCCTTAATGTATACGCTTAACACCCGCCTAAAATATTCTGAAAAAAAAATGTTTGTAAAGCTGACCTAACGCGGCAAGAATTATGGAAAAGCCAAAAAAGAAGAAAATCCCGGGGAGACTCGTCAGCCAACCTGCCCGCGGTGTCGCTCGGGCGACGCCGACAGGCCGCAGTGCTCGTTACAAACGTATTGCCGTGCACGTTTGTCGCGTCACTGACGTACAACAACAGGCGAATCGACTCTCGCACGCAACTAACCGAAAACCGGGGAATCGACCGACTGATCCCCGGAGGTTTTGTGGCTGACGCCTACCGCCGGCCGTCCGCGTCTTGGCGCTGGGCGCTACTTGCGGCCGGTCGTGGCGCTGGAGCGAAATATTTCGGTCTTCTTTTTCTTTTACAAGCTCTGTTGTGTTCAGAATTATACAAATGTCAACAATAATATTATTAACATTGTGTGGTACATTTTTCTCTCGAGCGGATCTGTTGCGACGACGGTTTTGACGGAATCGCAACCACGATACGACAGGTGACGGCGGCAGCCGTGACACCGGAAACTTATGTTTCGATACAGCAGACGTGCCCGAGATGACAGCGTTGAAAATAAAAAAAAAAACGCGACGATAACAATGCGGTATATAATACACGAAAAATATAAGCGGTACAATATATTTACGAAAACGAGACGAGCAAAACTAAAAAAATAAAATTGAAAAGCAATATGAACGCTTTCACAAACGGTGCCTATAATAAATGCAAGAATACACGGGAATAATGTAAAAAATATTTGTAACGATTTTATATAATTTTCAAACGGTTTAGCGATCGAACGAAAACGAAATCGCAATCGTTTTGGATTCTTAGTGAAGCGAGAGACCCATTGGTTTTACTATGTTGTAGTTTTTTTACGACTATTTTCCTAGAAATCTCGTTACAATCGAAACACGACAAGAGACCTTTTTTTTCTTGGATTTTGGCTCTAGTTGATACGTGAAAAAGGTCATTTTTCGAAACTCTTATTAATATTCGAGATAATGAGGAATACCGGTTCTTTAGGTTAAAACAATTTATATGATTAGAAATAAGGTTGCCATGGGCAACAACTTTTATTTGCTTTTGTTATTGTTATGTTTTTATTATTTTAAAAGATTTTAATATTTTTTTATACAATCGTTGTCGTGAAAACGCACATTGTTGGGAAAGCAACACTATTGCTCCGATCGAGCTCCGTTCAGAATCGTTTATCATATGCAATGAGCAATCTTTGCTTACAAATACAAAATTAAATTCCCGTCCATATCAACTTCTTACCTACATCAGTGGCCGCACTAGTCCCCAGTATCAGCTTTTTTTTTTATAAATTTATATTGTACACATGGTTATTCGTAAACAAATTGACAAATGTGTAGCGGTCTCTTCCCTGTACTTACGCAAAACGTGTCCGCGGACTTAGTAACTTTAACGGGAACGATAGGAGGGGAAAAATACGTACGTTGAAATTAACGTGCCAGTATTTTGTACGGAAAATTTTTAAAATCCAGTAGACCGTTTCCCGGACGCGTGCTGCATTACAATGAGTCAAACATAACAGTTTGGAAGAACACGAGGTATTTTCTGTCGGATTCGCCTAACTATAAAGATTCCGGCGGCCGATCAAGTGCTCGATCGCCGCGATTAGAGTTTTTAAATATTTCGAAAATTTTATTTTAAACGAAATTCCAAGGAGAATTGTCTATGAGGTTTAAATTGTATTTGAAGCTCGAATTATAACACAGGGCGATCAATTCTCGATAAGACATCCGTTATTCGGGAATTATTAACATTTATCAGCAATTTTTTTTTTTTTATTGTTTTTGATAAATTTATGAAACGAGCAGCTCATAAATATTGCATAATCGATATCCTTAATTATGAAATTTTATCTATTTATAGAGTTTTTGGAAGAAATTCGGTTGACGAACAAGTAACAGTGATTCTAGGAGCTGCTTGTTTCTTGAATGTTCTGAAAATCAAATTCCGAAAAAAGTTATCTTTCCGTAATGAGTACCTTACATCGAGGATTTATGACCGTGCTTAGTCACGGACACTATTATTTATCTAACATTAATCATATTTTCTTTTACGGCCATACGGTTTGCATAAACCGTATCCGTATCGAGGAGAGGGGAAAGAAATTGTAATCAGAGAATGGCCGACTGCACTTATCATCGTCTCGCGGAATTTAATATTATAGGCAGCCTTGTAGTCAAAAAGGCTAAATACTTGTTTGATATATGGGTGTAGACGGGATTGGTTTTGAGGCGTTGACGTCAAAAAAACAATAATTATAAGTGTTTTTTTTTTTAAATTTATTTAGTTATGTACTGCTTAAATAAACTACTTTAAATAAAAATGTATATAAAAAAAAAAAAATTTAACGATGAAATAATATTAGTTGTAGCGTAATCATGACATAACTTGTAACTATACTATAAGGGGGCCACCGCTAGACGGCTGCCTCGGTTTTGCTTTCGTGAGTCCTGTATTTTTACAAAACTAATTACAGGTAATAAACAAAAAAAAAAAAACAACTATACTTACTCTCTTTTAACAGTTATATGTGCCAAGGAGGATTTTCAGCAGTCAGTTAGTGTACAATCTTCATTTTTTGAAACGTTTAACAGCATTTAATTCAAGTACCCTAGTCGTCCTAATTTTCGTTTACCCAGTACTTAAATTCTTTTATAAATGCGACGTCTAACCTTACAGTTTTATATTTATGCATTTTCCCGACTGTACATAGATATTAGATATTATCTCATTTGGATCTCTGGGTCTCCTTTAAAATCGTATTAAAACGACTCGTTTTGTTTTCCTTTTTTTTTTCTTAATGAAATTTAAAAAAAAAAAAAAATAAATAGTCTCTTATTAAATCTATAGTGTTTGTACCAGTTTCGTTTCGTTTTTGTTTAGCGCGCAGTTTTAAAACACGTGCAGACGATTAAACCGATAAATGTCTGCAGTAGATAATAGTTATAGATGAATGATTTTCGGGTCGAGGGATTTTAACATTATTATTGTTTGCGATAACAATACGCGTGTTTTGTTAGTTTTTTTTTCTTCTCTTCTCTCGGTCAATAAACACGCGGAAAAAGTTTTGATACATACCGTTGGCGATGTATGTATCGGATAATAAATAACTGAATAATGTTGACTACTATTGTATAGCTGATGTCCTTTGCGGTGAGGAGGGGGGGGGAGCCAGAAGGGGATGTCCGCGGCATGTCCGGCGGAAAACCCCATATATCTACATAGCATATCCACCTAAACACAGTAATAATAAATAGAAAGAGCGGGTAAACGTCTGGAATCGAAAAAATATTGTCGAGCTCCGGTTTTTTTTTTCAAACACGACGATTTTATTGTAAACCGTACAGCTTAGAACGCATCGTAATAATATTAGTGGAACCCGTTTTCAAACTCACTAAATCCTATTGAAATACGGTAAAAAAAAAAAAAAAAAAAAAAAA